GTCCAATTTGTGTGTCCAAATGCCCTTTAGTGTGGGTCCATTCACTGTACTCTGGTTAACTTACCAAGAGTCCCATGCTTGAAAGAGACAATCTCTGCCTCTCCCAGGATCCATCTGTTGCCACAGTTTCCCTAGGTGGACTTGGAGCTTCTTACCCACTTCCTCATGTCTATGCTAGGATGTTTTCTGGTTTGAGCTTCCTTGGGACTTACAGCACCAGGATTTTTACATGGACGTTGGGGATCCAAACTCAGGTCTTTGTGCTTGAATGACAAGCACTTTACCAACTGAGCCTTCTTCACAGCCCAGTATTATGTTTTTAAATTCAGAACTGCGGTGACAAGACAAAGTTACAGCTTTCAAGTTCTGAAGAAGGGTGAGATGTGTATACAGAGTTGGAAAGGGTGGGCTCTGAGGATTACTGTTGGGTAGGAGAATAAAGAATACAGAATAGAGAATAGAGTGGAGAGAGTGAGATGGAATATTCGTATGGTCACAGCGATGGGTACAAAGTATGCTGAAGAAGGCCCCTCTTGTCACTGAATGGATGAACCTTAGGGTCCCTGAAGTCTCCCAGAGTGATGGGAGAAGGCGAGAGTTCAGAGTGGGTGCAGCATGCAGCAACATTCCCAGGGAACACACTCTGATAACAAATCCCTGGCAACGGTGGTGTTACAGCGATGGGAGGGATATTTAAAGTCATTTGTTGTCTGTTATATGAGATATGCCACATTTCAAAATCCTGGTTTTCATATTTTTTCAGGAAAAACTGAGGCTGCTATAAAAAACTTCAGTCCCTACTACAGTCGCCAGTATTCTGTGGCTTTCTGCAATCATGTGCGTAGTGAGGTGGAACGGCAGAGAGATTCAACATCACAACTTCTGAAGACCAAGGTAACCCATGGACATTTGATTTACATGTTTCTTTCACTGGAGCAAGATTTATAGTTTTTAATATTTCGATGACTTGAGTGGCAGTTTTAAGAAACTCTACACTAAAATTACTTCATACTCAAAGACCTGCATGGAACTGAGTATGTGCATGACGTCTTGTGGGTGGCATAATCCATATATAAAGAAAACTAGCATGACTCCCCTTTTATTGTGTCTTTCTTCACTGATACTTTGATATCAGGAAATTTAATTTTCAGTAGTGAAATTTAGTCTAAAAAATTCATGATTTGGTCTGTTTGGGTCAGTGATCCCATATGATTTTCTCTCTGAGTTGTCTTGGATCTAACGTGTGATTTCAAGACAAGTTGTCCACCTTCCTAGAGTTTATCTTCGGATGTAGGAGCCAGACAGTAAACAAGTGAAGGAACAGATGGCACGTGATGGCAAGGCAGTGATAAATGCTACAAAGAAAAACTTAGCAAGAGTCTTGTTTGGAGGAAGTGGCTGAAAAGGAAGCCCTCTGTGGAGATGACAAATGACAGTGGGATGAAATGAGAGTGGGCGAGTGAACCCAGGGGAAGAATATTCTAGATGGAGTAGCAAGAGCATTCAGATGGCACAGCGGGGAAAGACCCTCCAGCTCAGCTTTGAGACTGCTAGTCTGCCGGGTCTGTGAGTGGGGCCTGGGCAATGACTGCAGGAGACAGGAAGGACCTGTAGACCAGGGGCCACTGTAAGGGCTTGATTTTAAGTGTAGTGGAAAGTTCCATGACAGAGTACCAAACACAGAGTGACAGAAAATTTTAAGTGATTTTTTTTTTTTTCCTTTCTCTCTATAGAGAGTAGACTATTGGGGAGAAAAGGAGTGGTGGTGGTTTTCGTGTGTGTGTGTGTGTGTGTGTGTGTGTGTGTGTGCATGTGTATGTGTGTGTGTTTGTATGTGTATACATGAGCATAGAGGCCAGGGGTCAGCTGTGAGTGTCATTTCTCAGAGGACAACTACCTTGGTTTTTCAGTCTTATTGGAATCTGCTGATTAGGCAAAGCTGGCTGGAATCTTCCTATCTCCACATCTGCCTAATCTCCACTGGGATTACAAATCCAGCAAATCTGGATTTTTTATGCCACCTCTGGGGGTCCAACTCAGGTCCTTTGGAACAAGTATTTAACTGTCTTTTTCCCCAGCCAGGGAAAGAGCCCACTTTGACAGAGCTGGGCAGAATCTGCTATGAGGTCATAGGAAGGAGAAATCTGATGCTTTGTTGGCTTTTAACTTTAGCAAAACAAGTCAGCGGAGCTGCTTTTTACTCAGAGGGAGTTAGGGGTGAGTGGGAGTCAGTTCATTTTACTAAGATAAGTTTGAGATGCTCTTTTTTCCTTTTTAAAACATTTATTTTGGGGGCTGGAGAGATGGCTCAGCAGTTAGGAGCACTGGCTGTTCTTGCAGAAAGACCCAGGTTTGAATCCCAGCACCCACATAACAGCTAACAACTGTCAGTAATCCCAGTTCCAGGGGATTCGATACCTTCTTCTGTCTTCCACAGGCATTACACGACACGGGTGCACTTACATACATGCAGGCAATACACACATACACATAAAATAAAAATAATAAAAAATATTAAACATTTATTTTATTTTTATTTATGCATATGTATATGTTTGCACATGAGTGCTGTTGCTCACAAGGCCAGAAGAGAGCATCAATCCCCTGGAGCTGGAGTTAACAGGTGGTTGTGAGCCACCTGATGTGGGTGTTGGGGACCAAACTTGGGTCTTCTGGAGGAACAGCAAGTACTCTTAACCACTGAGCCATCACTCCAATTCCTGAGACTATTTTTTTACATACATCTGTAGATATATTGAATAGGTAGTTAGTTGGTCTGATTTGGAGCTCAGCAGATGGATTGAGGCTGGGGTCACTAGTTTGTAATCAATAGCAAAGTCATGAGGTGTGATTGAAGTAAGATTAGAGAGAGGGAAAAAGCAGGTCACTGGTCTCACTGATGTTTGCAGGACTGAAGGAGAAGGAACCAGTCAAATAAACTGAAAAAACAGCCTGGGGAGTAGGAGAAATGTGTCAGTGAAGAAGGGGGCAGTGAGGTCCTTTTTATCTTTTAATGAGGCAAGATAGGAGGTTGCCTCCTTATCTGTCAGGACTGGCTTTAAGCACTAGAATTTGGAAGGGAATTTATTTCATTCCTTAGATGAGTCTTAAAAGAAATAGGTCTGTCTCTTCTATATGATTCCTATAAAGCTCTACTTTAAAGTAAAGAGATAAGTTTTGGAAGGCAGTATTTTTTAAAGAGAGAAATAAACATAATCTTAGCAACAAGTAAGACAAGAGCCCCATTCTTTTTTTTTTTTTTTTTTTTTTTAACAGACTCAATTCACTTTATTTTTCTCATATGAAAGCCCTAGGTAGTAGCCACAGCTGGAGCCTGGGTTCCCTGTACAGAGCCTCTGGTGTGGGTTTTCACAAGATGATCGGTGAATTCCTGATAGGGGACTTGATGAAGACCATCTCTTTGCAGAGGTCAGGGGTCCGGCAACTGTAGGTCTTAGAGATGACACCAAAGGTGGCCTTGGAGAAGTTTCCCAGAGTGGCAGTGCAGCCCTGGCTGATGTGTAGCAGTCTTCAGTACCAGCCATCAGCAGCAGCTTCTTAGGCATAGGAGCAGAGATGATTCCAGTGCCTCTGGGGACAGGGAAGAGTCCCATTCTTATATTTTGAAATAATATGGAAATTACACAGCAAGACAGGATGGGAGCTTTCCTTACACAACAAACCCAATGGAAGAACTAAAGAGGAATCTAATAGAAATTACTTCACTGAACATATCATCATCAAGGTTAATGAGAGATGCTTATGAATATAAGGGATGGAGTTGATGGTTGCTGGCTTGATACCTCCTTGCTCTTTAACCAAACATGGATTCCTTAAAAAACAGAAGGGTGGATGAAGGTGCAGCCTAGGCCCCATGACTTTTGGAAAAGTTATGATGAATGAGTATGCTAGTTGGTTTTAACCATCATTAACTTGAGAAGGGAGTCTTAATGAGGTATTGTTTAGATTAGATTGGCCTATGGGAGGGCCAAGGGGACAGTATTGATTATTGATTGATGTGGGCAGCTTACTGTGGGCAGCACCATTTCTTGGGTAGGGGTTCCTGAGATATGTAAGAAAGAACAATGTGGGGGCTAGAGAGATAGCTCAGCCATTAAGACCACTGGCTGCTCTTGCAGAGGACCTGGGTTCAGATCCCAGCACCCACACGGCAGCTAACAATTGTTCATAACTCCAGTTCCAGGGGATCTGACGCCATCTTCTGACCTCTGCAGGCATTGCATGACACAGGTGCACTTACACACATGCAGGCAATACACTTATTCATATAGAATAAAAATAATAAATAAAATATCAAGAAAGAACAAAGCAAGCAAGGATTCATGCGTTTATTTTCTCTTTGCTCTTGGTTGTGATTAGCTGCTTGAGTTTCTATTTGACTTTCCCTAAATGATGGACCATGACTTGAAATAGACCTTTTGTTTCCCTATGTTGCTTTTCATTGGGATATTTTATCACAGCAGCAGAAATGAAAGGAGGACAGTAGAATAGCTGGTTAATTCTGCTTCCCTGATGTAGTAGCCCTGTAGCACACCAGGGAATTGCAGTGGGCATCCACAGCTCTTCTGTGCTTCCCTACACATCCTCTCCGACAGTTTATCAAGCATTTATTAAGTGTTACATGTATGCAAAGGAAATTTCTTTAATCCATATGCCACATTGAGGGAAACGAAAAATCATAAAAATACCAATATGATCCATGTCTGTTTTTTCTTTGGAGGAATAGGAAGGGAAATTTGTCGCAGAGAGGAGAAAGTGACGATTTCCCCCAAGATCTCTGCACACCGTAATAGTCTAAATTATTCTTGAAATACCATGAATAATGTAGTATTAAAAGGGGTATCATTTCTTCTTAAGATAGTTCATTGTATTCCTCTTCTTTAAGCCACCCTTGGAACCAGGAACTGTTTTGTATGAAGCAGAGCTCTCACAGTTTGCCGAAGACATAAGGAAATGGAAGGACAGATACATTGTGGTTAAAACTGATTTTGCTGTGGAAAGCTATGAGAACAAAGAGGTAAGACCTGTTCTTGTCACACTGGTTCTTGCAATATTTGTAAAACATTGTGTTCCTTGCATGCTTCATTCAAAACACTCATTCAGGTACTCGTTTCTATCAGTAGATATTTATTGAATATCTGCTATATGCCAGTGTTATATAGGGATCTGTATGAATAGCAGTTGATCAGACAAGTGTTCTCAGTCTATGGAAAGGATAGACTTGGAAAAAGGAACAGCAGATGAGTGAGAGAACAGAAGTGCCAAGCGACTTGGGTTTGGAGCTTTTTCTGTGATCTTCTCAGTCACTGCCTTGACTGTTTCCTCTGTACTGTGTCTCTGTATCTTCCAACTCTTTTCTTTTTTTCTTTTTTTTTTTCAAAGATAGGGTCTCCTGTCTCGAGATGGAGACCTGCCTCGCCTTGATCTCACAGAGATCTGCCTGCCTCTGCCTCCAGAGTCTTGAGATTAAAGATGTGCGCCACCACACCTGGACTGTCTTCCAACTCTTAAGGTTCATATATGACACACAGTTGAGGAGTTAGTTATTCATTAAGATAGCAACTGCGTTTTCAGGGTTCCTAGAAACTTAAAACACTGTATACTTCATTCAACTTATATTTAGGGATTTTTGTTCAGTTGAACTTTTTCTAGATTAATTTTTTGTCTGTATCAGGAGAAAAATTAGATAAAGTATTTATACCTGGAGGACTTGAGTTTTCACTATGTTCAGTTAGAGCAGAACGGACATGAGCAGTGAATTTAGAAAACTAGAGTTTAGATCAAGTTGTATGACTAGTGAGGAGAGAATAATGAACAAGTAACTTCTCTAGACTTCAGTTAAACTGAGGAATTAGTTCAAATGATCCTAGCTGGTCCTTTGCGATTTCATGCTGTACACATTTATTTTCATCCACACAGAGCCTCAACCCCCCTTTGAAATACATACCAGTTAAGGATCAGAACAGGTTTCAAATTCTGCTCTGTTGACTCTAAACTCAAAGACAGGAAAGCTCCACCAAATACTCAGCAATCCCTGGATGCTAAACCAGTAGGAAGAGGCTTAGGAAGACAGGCTCTGTGCTTCCTTCCCATTGCTGACAGAAAACAGGAATACAGTGTAGTACAAACTATTACACAGGCTACTGGACAAGGCTCAGCTACCCTTGGATAGACCTTTTCTTTTCAACATTGAGTAAACTAGTATTTTCTCTGCTTGCCTCTATTAGGATTTTATTCAACCTTTAACTTGCACTCCAAATTAGAAATCTACTACAAATCACAGTAACAAATCACCTTATACTTTTTATAGTCATTTTACAACATCTTGGAAGTCTGAGGAGAGGTAGGGTATCTTAATGGGTAGTTAACATTATTGGCTTTGAATCTCATTTTTGCCCATTACCAAATACATGTTCTTAGCTAAGTTATACACTTCTTTTAGTCTCCATTTTCTCATCTGTAAAATGGTGTGACCCATTCATGGTATTGTGGAAATTAAAGTAGTGAATGTATTGAAGCATGGAGTACATGGCCAGGCACGTGGTTTAGCTCAATATAGAGCAATTGTTGATATGATTCTTACTAACTGGAGAGAGTTTATTGTTAGACTTATTTGTGCCTTTTACCACATTTGACAGTAAATGAAATTTCGTTTTGAATTAAAGCTTGGTGATTTTCTCCTTTTTCACTCTTAATTAAGTTAATTAATTCATTTATTTAGGTTTTTTTGAGACAGGGTCCCCCAGTAGCCCCAGTTGGCCTGGAATTTGCTTTGTAGATCAGGCTGACCTCAAACCCACAGAGAGCTACCTGCTTTGGCCTCCAGAGGATTAAAGGCATGTGCTACCATGCCCAGCTCCCCCTTTTTTCACTTTTTTTCTTTTTTCACTTTAAAAAATTTGCTTCCTCCCTTGCCAGGAAACTCCAATGGACTCTCATATGAACATTTGAAAATTGCCCTGTTCTGACTTTTTTCTAGTTCCCTGTCTAGAACTTGTAATGCTAATTTCTCTTGCCTTTACTTCTTCACATCTCCTAGTCACAATTCAAGGGCTTTCTTTTGCCCCTAGAGACAAGAGTTATGCAATTTGGGAGTCTTTTAGATAGACCCACTGAAGGGGTACTGCAACTGCCTCACCCTGCGTCCCTGTTCAGCAGGGAAGAAGCCAGAGCGGTCAGCATCCCTATTCCCTAAAGGCAATTTGGGTAACTCCTTCAGAAGATGGTGTGATAAGAATAGGAGGTGGAATTGGCTAGGCAGTTAGGGTAAAAAGACCCCAAAGAAATGTAGCCAGTTTCTTGACTAAAAGTCAAAATGTCCTTGGGCCTGTTAGCAACATACTCTGTTCCAAGGCCAAAAATGTCAAAAGTATTTGGGAACTTGTATCTAATCCTTAAAAGATTTTAGGGTTACCCCTTCAGAGGGGAGAATGTTAGAAGGGAGAGAGTGGGCATGGATTTCATCAAAAAACCTTATATGCATGTATAAAATTCTCAATAAAGTTTTTGTAAAAATTAAAAAAAAAATTAGATACTACCTTAAAAACTTTGCTTCCTCAATTTGAAATCTATATAATATTATGTTTTGTTTGCTTTGCTCATTATTTTCAACTAACTGTTTAGGCTATAAGTAGGTAGATAGGTAGGTAGGTAGGTAGGTAGATAGATAGATAGATAGATAGGGAATCTGACAAAATATTTCTAAAAACCAATTGGATATTTAAAGAAAAAGTTCATGCACTTTGTCATCAGTGCTTAATTTTTTTTAACAAGGTCTTTTTTTTCAACTTATAGAAGTACTTTTAAAAAAAAATCATGCCTAAGAGACATTAACTAGTTGTAAGCTCATTATTTTATTGAGAGCTCAGTTTGGCAGTGAGCACACAGGGACATCAAAGCATTCTTACTTCAAAATCCATCCCAATTTCCTTCACATTTTCTCTGGACTTGACAGATACCAGATGAGTGCAGAATCTGACGCTCACTGCTGGGTCACTGTGGTGACCTGTGAGCTTCAGTTTTCTCATCTGTAAAATAGAGATATTATCTAATTCATAGCGCTATCTTGAGGATCGAATGATACAATGTTTACAGAAGCCAGTATTGAAGCTTGCCATAACCAAAACCACAATTCATATTTGTCTGAATCAAATTACTTCCACATTATCTCAAAATCATACAAATTTATATTCTTCTGTGATGCTTGGTCCCTGATGTTTAAGCAGCTGATTAGTGGTTCTTACAAGTATGAAAGCAGGCTTCTTAGCAATCTGAGTGTTTGTTTTGTTCGGATTTCTTTAGCCACTCTCTTATAAATGGAGAATGTGTTATTGTTATTCTGAGTTTGTTGCCCAGATCAGTGTTATTTTAGTTATTCCCAAGAGCACACTGGAGATTTTGGGTCCCACAGCTTCTTGGTTTCAGTTCGCAACATGCCTTCGAGTTACTATATTCAAAACATTGTCTTGACATAAGCCTGCGCGTCAGAGGCATGTACTTGATTTCATCTCATCTGTGTGTCCCTGGGGTGTGTTGTCATGGCCACTTTTGCAGTGCACTGGGCCTCTTTCAGGTTTCTCAGACAGCAGAGATTCTTGTCTGCCAGACAGAATTTATTCTGATGTCGAAAATCTTTCCTTCCACCCCAGTCATTTTACCGCAAAAGAGCCACATTTGAGGGCAAATGTTAACGTATTTTATCATGGCAACATTTGCATGTTTTGGCTGAAACTCTATGGTAACTATCTATTGTAGCTACATGCTCCATGGTGTCATTAGGCATTATATGTAGCTCACGTCAGATGAGTACTTCGAGCAGTATGTGTACTGTCACCACCCTTGTGGTTATCAGATGAGTCAGGTATTAGCCTCTGAAGTGATGATGTGATGCAGACTATGTAGATGTTACTGAGATTCTGTTTTCCCCATATGAGAACACCTACTGGGAATCTCCCTGAGATTAGGGACTGTGGCTTACCATGCTACAAGTGACCACAATTCAGAAGTCATAAATATTACCTTGTAAACAGCAAGAATGTAAACCAGTTAAAAAAATTAAATGTCTCTAAATGACGTAGCATGGGGATTTCTGTCTCTGGGTATACGTGTCTGGGCATGTCTGTTTTTTTTTGACATTTTTCAAAAGAACAAACTGGGGAAAATCATTCATTTATGTATTTTCTTCTCAGGCCTATCAGAGAGGAGCTGCTCCTAAAAGCCGAATTCTTCCAGCTGGTGGCAAGGTGTTAACCTCCGAAGATGAATATAATCTGTTATCTGATAAGCATTTTCCAGACCCCATTGGTGAGTGGCTAAGAGTCTTTTCCTAAACTTGCTTTGTTTAGCTAAACCCGAAGTCCTTAGTCGGGGGAGAGCACTTTTACCTTCCAAACTGTCCCTTCCAGGGACATTTGACAGTTTCTGGAAACATCCTTAATGATCACAGTTGGAAGGTGAAATTTGTAGTCATTTAAGCCAGCAGTGCTGCTAAGCATCCCACAACATACAGGGTATGTTTAGCAGCATGTACAATTGTACCACAATGTACAACTCGGAACAATGGCCTATGTCAGTAATGCTGAGGTGGAGAAACCCTGAGCTGAAACCCACGCTCCACAGACAGAAGATGCAGTTTTTAAAATTTAGGTCCACATTATACCACTTCTAGAATTTTACATCCTATTCAGTGATACAAGTCAGTTATTGTGTTTGTAGCACATGGAAAGTGTGGTGTTGGTCAGGTACCTTGAAGCTTTGGGAATATATTATAGACTTTGATACCACCATACAGGACAGCAGAAATAACAGGTAAGGTTCAGGGTATGACACGTACAATTTCATTTTTCAGTAAACAAACTTTGACCTTTTGGGGATTATTTTCTAATTTTATAGTTATATGCAATAAAATATTCTAAATTTACAAAAAATAAAAACTGTTTAAATAAATGTTACAGTAACCCATAGCTACTAAGTGAAAGAAACCATTGCCTCCTTCACCTGTCTATAAATAAAACTGAGTGCTGCTATAGAAAGAGCAGTGATCTGGGGACTGGGAGCTGGGATTTTGTTCTAGCTCCTGTGGTGCCACTTAGCAAATGTTTTCAATGGAGCAGACTTTGAACCTCTCTTGCTTCTGTTTCTTCTGCTGTAAAATGGGCCTTTGAACTTGAAAATCTGGAAGAATCTTTCCAACTTTAACATTTTTCGATTCTCATTCATTCTACTTATTTTTTATGTAGTGAAAATGATGTATGCTACACAAGCTAAATAGGGCAATTCATAGAGCTTCATGAACTGTGGATAATGTAATAACTCCATCTGGCTTTGTGTAAATCACACCATGCAGTAATTACTTGCTTTCTTGAAGAGAACACTGGTTCTTATTAATGGGCTTCATCATTTCATTAGAATTTATGGAGAAATATATAATCATTTCATCAGTTGTTATTTTGGTGTAAATTGCTTAGTATGGTATTTTTAATAATATAATTATAGGACTAGTACATGGACCATAAACCTAGATTATCAAATTATTACTAAATAATTCAGGCTAAAGCCATGTTTTATGTGCATGCTGCCTATTATTATACATTATATTTTCTTCCAGCATCTACTTATATGCCACCTTGGCTGTGGAGCTGCAGCTAAAAATGGGAATATCAACATGTTGACTCGAAAACATCTCCAGAACTTTCCAATGCAATTAGTCAGAACAGACAATATATTTATGGATTCATTGATGAAATCATCAGAAGGAATGAAAAGAAATGAAAAGCACTAGGCTTGTGTGACTGAAGCCCAGTTAGCTCAGGGCTTCACCCAGACCATTTCAATGACCATTTTTATTGTCTGGTGTGGCCCACTAAGCTTTAAAAATAGAATATTCCACAGTAGATCGTTTGTCACAGCCTTGTAACTCAACCCAGAAAAAATGTAGACTGATGGAATCTGGAAAATTGTTATGAAAGGTTAAGCAAGAAATAACTAGAGGTTAATAGGAGGGACTTTGGTGGGATTGCTGAAACTTTCAAATGCAGAGGGTCAATGTCGTTATCTGTTGTTTGTACAAAAACACGACATTTTGGAATGGGCATGAAGAATTGCTTCACAAAGCATGTTAATCAAGATTCACCCTGTAATACTGTTTCTACCGGAAAGAATAAATTTAAACACATTAAAAATGAGAGAAATTATCTTTGCTTGAGAAAAGACACTTTAGGCTTATGAATACACATAAGATTTTTATGAGTATTCTGCTAGGGTGATAGTTCAAAAATGTCCTTGTGTTTTGCTAAAGTGATTCACTTATTTGACATTTTATTAGAGTCTGGTTTGCCACACACAACAAAACTCAAGTTAAATATGCAAGGTTTTATTATCTTGATAAAAGTATATGAGTATTAGTCCAAGGTTAGTGTGGCAGATACACAGATTTGTCATGGACTTGGGCTCTTTCTAGCTTTCTTCTCCTTTTTTCTAGGTTTTGGCACTTATTAGCAGAGTCCAAGATGGATGCTGGAGCACCAGCCATAGGTTTCTCATTTCAGATAGCCGGAAGGAGAAAAGGGGAGGAAGCAGTGGGCATAGTTCCTTTGTTTAAGGATGCCTGCAGGAGGTTTGATATGCCAATTCAGGTTACATCCCATTCGTCAGAACTTGGAAACCATGGGCTTCCAAATTACACAGGAGACTGGAGATATACATGAAATATTTATTCTATGAGGTCCCTTGTTCAGTTGAAAGTCAGGAATTTTCTAGCTGAAAAGGGAAGACTAGATACAAGTGTCTAAAGCATTTAACCATCCATTCATTCGTTTGTGTATGCATTGATTCTTTCTTATGTGATTGTGTGCTGGGTGTTGTGCCAGGTACCTGTGGGCCACAGCTTATGTTCCCAGGCCATTCTGTTCTGTTGCCTTCAGGTTCCAGGACAGTGGAACTATTCCTGTACCTGTCTCCAAGAAATCTACTCTTATCTTGGCTTATTAATTTGTTAGTAGCTGACTCGGTTCTGAAGCCTGCTTACAGTTCTGATATATTTCTTGGTGTGCTTGGGCACACAGCAGTCTTTTGAAGGGTCTTGGATGCCTTCCTTTTCTAGACAGCTGTGCCTACAGAACAAACTGTGCTTCTGTGTGCTCTCCATGACTCTAGAATGAAGCTGGGCCTTTTTACCAAGTACGATGGATTCCCTATAATGGAAATGCAGAAAGGGAGTAAGGTTGGGGTGGAGTTTCTGAAGAGCAATGTGCTTCAACATGAATTTCTTTGAACTGACTTTGAAGGAACAGATAAACATTTTATTTTGTGTATGTGTGTTGCTGGGATTTGAACCCAGATTCTTGCATATGTTGGGCAAATATTCTACTACTGAATTACACCTGTCTTATAAGCCCCCTAGTCTTATATTTTTTAGCGCTTCTAAAATTTTCTAGAGCACACCTGTTCATTCAACATGTTGATGTTGAATGTCTCCCACATTCCATGGCTGTGCTCCAGGCTGAACAGACAAGGACATGTAAGCAGTCATCTCCATCATCTAGAAGCCACTGTCTGGGGTAGTGGTTCTGATTCCTGGGAAGGAAACCCTGGAGAATCAAAGAGCACAGGCTCATCTGCCCACCTGCCTCCCCACCGAGTGTTAGTGCCAGTCATGGAAACTGGCCACTGTAATATTTTAGAACAGATAGGAACATGCAATCCTGACTCTGGTGACAGGGCAGGTGCCAGCAGAGGTTCCCAGAGGAGGTGACTTTTGAATGAACTTATGAAGGATGAATGAGGATTTTTCTCTAGGGAAAGCATGATGGAAAGGAAGGTAGGCAGGGTGATGTGGGTTGCAAGAACAATATAAAGCTGTGGAATAGATGGGAGAAATAGAGACCGAGAGCAGAGAGGAAACCAACACAGAATAGAACAAACACCAATGCTGGTCTCAAACTCACACCTACCTCTGCATATTGAGGGCTGGAATTAAAGGTGTGTGCCACCACACCTGGCAAGAAGCTACTTTTTAAAGGTATGACAACCAGGAGATATGTGCTCCTGAAAGTCCAGGGGAAACAATGTTTTCAAAAGAAGGGGTCATTAGCAGCAACACCTGTTACGATCAGATTCATAGGACAGTGAATAGAGAAGCCACAGGCTGGCTATCAGGATGGCGTTAGTGACCTCAGTTATTGGGTTCAGGAGCTGGTGGATTAGAATCAAACTGAGGCAAGAGTAAAAGTAGATGATACAGTCAGCAAGTGCTGCTCAGCTTTGGGCCTTGACTTCCCCGAGACCTGCAGGGGGCAAGTGAGCCCCTTGAGGCACATGAGAAGAGAGCTCTGTCTGTGGGTTTTGGGGGGATTTCTTCTACAGCCAGGAGAAGAGAAGGATATATGCTCACTGCCTGTGGTTGCCCTGGTGGAAGAGATGGCAGCATATGGGGAAAGGAAATGCTGGGCTGGTGGAGGGCTGGAGATGAGATTGAACCTCTATTCCCCCATCACCTTGCCATCTCATGGCTGCCACAGATATTTTCACAGACTGAAATAAGTATTTGAAATACAAGCCCCATGCTTTAAAATTGTTTGTGTTGGACTGGAGAGATAGCTCCGTGGTTAAGAGTACTGGCTGCTCTCACAGAGGACCTGAGTTCAGTTCCCAGCACCCATATGATGGCTAACAACCATGCATAACTCTAGCTCCGGGGGCTCCAGTGCTCTTCTGGCCTCAAGCATTGCACAACACTCATACGCATAAAATAGAAATAAATAAATCAAAAAAGTTTAAAAGTATTTGTGTTTCCAATATTTCTTTAGCCTCCAGTGAGAAGAACTCTCAGCCCTTTGTGGTCCTGCCCAAGGAGTTCCCAGTGTACCTCTGGCAGCCTTTCCTCAGACATGGCTACTTCTGCTTCCATGAAGCTGCTGAGCAGCAGAAGTTCAGCGCCCACCTGAGGGACTGCATCAGACATCTGAATCACGGTAGGGCTCCACTGCTCTCTTCCTGAGTTGCCTTGCTCAGTCACCTGCCACTTTGATTCTTAGAGCCTCTGAGGGTACTGCCCCAGGGAAGGAGAGGGCGAGCAGGGGCAGCAAGCTTTGAGCACAAGGAGCCTCAAATGTTGGTGGAACAGAGCATGGAGCAGTTATCTGATGGCTGGTGCAAGCCTGCTTGGACTGCTGTCTAGTTATTCACTACCCTTGTCGTTTCATTTGGGATATAATCCCTCTTCCTCCTTTCCTACAATATCTTTGAAGTGGCACAGCTTTAAAAAGCTTTGTTTTGATTTTAGTTATGGATTTAATTAATAATTCGGGAGCTGGAGTGATGGCTCAGCCAGTTAAGAGCTTGCTGCTCTTGCAGATGCCCCAAGTTTGAAGCTCAGCACCCAGGTCAGGTGTCTCACAACTGTTATAATTCTAGGTCTTCAGAGTATCTGACGGCTCTGGACTACACAGGCATCTACGCACACATGCATATACCCTCATGAGGACACACATATACACACACACGATTAAAAATATAAATCTTTAAATAATAATCCATTTGTAATAAAAGACTTTTCATTCCAATATGTGTGTGTTGGCGTGGGGGTGGGGTTGACATTTCGATATGAATTCTGGTTTTACTGGACTCTATGAAGCCATCAGTTGCAGATAACTGAACTCTGTCTTCTTTGACAGCTGGAAAGGCAGGCAATCAAATGCCACAGAGGAGCTTAGCCCTTGCCAACCTCTATATGGGTACAGAGTAATGAAGCATGCAAAATTCCTTTCTTTGGGAGTCTAAATTCAAATAGAGAGGAGGAAGAAGCACATTCATAAATTCTAATTTGATAGTTACCAAAGCTAATGTGTTAAAGAGTAACTAGAAGTCACTGCCTAGTGAAGAATGGAGTGCAGATGATCCTAACCCTTCAGTAGTCTGACTTATGGATCTTCCAGTTCATGGTGGTACAAAAGTGGTACCCATCTGGGCTAGTGACATGGAGTGAGTGCTCTCTTGATGCTGGACAGTTGCAGCTCTCAGCCACATGAGGGTAAACAAGTAGTACATTACTGAATACTGCATTGCCAGAACTTTTTGGATACTGTGTTTTGTGGTTTTGCAGCCCACTGGTCTGCAAAACACATTTGTTTATGTCCAAGAAGAATTTAACACTTTATTAAAAAATAGTCTTTGTGACAGCTGATTTTGCTCAATTGTAGAGTAAGGCAAATGTTCTGAGCATGTCTGCATGTCTGAGGCAGGCTAGGCTAAGCTGCGATACATAGTAGGTTAGGTGTATTAGATGTATTTTTCTTTTTAAAATATTTATTATTTATTATTTTTATTTTATGTGTATAAGTGTATTGCCTGCATGTATGTGAGTGCACCCATGTCATGCAATGCCATGGAGGACAGAAGAGGGCTTCAGATTCCCATGGAACTAGAATTAAGGACGGTTTGTAGCCACCATGTAGGTGCTGGGAATCAAACCCAGGTCCTCTGCAAGAGCAGTCAGTGTTCTTAACCGCTGAGCCACCTCTCCAGCCCCTAGATATATTTTTCAACTTACTATGGACTCCTTGAGATGTCAAGCTATGCTAAGTCAAAGAATGCTTTTTTGTATGTTGGAGCTGGGGACATGTTAGGCAAGCACTCTTAAGTACTAAGTGACACCCTTAGTCTTGTACAGAACTTTAAGCTTGTTGGAGGAGGCTTCTTTTTAACAGATGACTTTTGAGATTAGTCACTTTAAACGAATGCCTTTTTTCCCCTACTACAGCTAATTTTGCTATACATTTATTTTAAAGTTTCAAGGTTTCCTTGAGACTACCATCACATAGTTCCATGAATTGATCTCAGGTCATCAGTCTTAGGAGCAAGCATCCTTACCGTCTGAGCCATTTCACTGGCCCTAGTTCTTGGTTTTAATGTGTGTATCCATAGGAAACTAACAGAAAAAGATGTCATTCTCTTTGCTAGAGCAACTCTAAATAACATTTATAACACTGATTCTTAACTAGACCTTTATACAAATGATTTCCTTACCAATTTCTTGCCTTGTGTTTTTGATGTTTTAGAGACAGAGACTTGCCCAGCACTGTCTGTTCCATCAAGCTCATTTTTCAATATATTCAACACCTCTGCATTTCAGGCTTTGGTCTAGTAAGAACAGGCATTTGGCACCAAACCCAGGAACTACAAAGTTGCACTGAACAGAGAATGTGCTCTGCCTAGCCAAAAGGGACTTGCTGCATTCCCCCTTCCTTGTACAAAATAGGAATTTCTTTGGGGAGTTTGGATACTGTGTAGCCTGCATTTAGATACCATTTATGGAAGATTTCAGTCAGTTCAAAACCCAGCTCTACTCTGCAGGATGTTATCATGGCGCTGAGACAATGAAGTCCAGTTATATTTCCCTGGTCCTATGATACATTCTTCAGTTCCTTACTGAGTCTTCATGCAGACAGTGGGGCATAATTTATCTCTGATCTGAGCCATAGGCCATCACAGCATGGCAGAGAGCGGTCCTTGGTTGTTGAGGACAAGGACTTCATGGGGCTTTCTCATCCTCCCTTCCTCCTTTCTCTCTCTCTCTCTCTCTCTCTCTCTCTCTCTCTCTCTCTCTCTTTCTCTCTTTCTTCTGTATTTGATGGCACAGTGTACCATTATTTTTACAGAATCACTTTTTCTGTCCCAAGTCTATACCTATTACTGTGTGATCTTGAATAAACCAGTAAGAGGCTTTCTCAAGCTGCCAGTTCACCATATGTACCAGAATTGTCCAGGAGGGGCTGGGGGAGGCTGCTACTTTCCACCCCAGGCAAGTAGAAGGACTCAGTCCTCTGTTGTCACTGCTCCCTTGGCTTTCAGTCAGCCATGCATCTCTACTGAGAAGTGGGTCCTGGACATTCCAGCAGATGAAGTCAGCCACTATTAATCCACATGGGGTGCTAAAATACATTTCCTAGTGCTCAAATGCAGCTACAGCCCAGCCCACTTGCTCCAGGAATGTTGGGTTCAAATTGTTGTAGATAGTCGTACTCATTCATTGTGGATCCAGAGCCACTTCAGTTTGTTCTTATGGGGTAGGTATATTTCCTTTTTAACCCTGACAAAGGACCTGGCTATACCCAATTTGTGTACAATGTGGCTTTTTGAAGATAGATGAAGGCAAATGGAGAGATCTGTGATCCTCTCTCCTTCAAGAGAGGGAGCATCTGCTAGGAGCTCCTAAGATTATTTACAGTGAGGAGCACAGAGGTATGCTGGGGGCTGTATGCCTGTGTGGTTTGGTTTTGTACCTCCTCTTTGATCAAACATAAGATCTCACAAGATTAATCTTTAATGGAACATCTCATTCCATTCACTGCTCATTGTGTGGTTTGTATGCAGCTGCTGCTCTCTGTCTGTTTTGAAATCACACTCCAGTCCCCTGTCCCTGACCAGAGAGGCCAGTGTTTGGAGTGTCCAATGCCACAAAGTGGGATTTGTATCTCCAAGATGTTCTGAGGCAGCTTGTCCAAAACTCAGTCCTGTACTCCAGAGTTTTAGCCTGCAAAATGTGGTTTTGTGGTTATAGGGATATGGTTTAAACTTCTGACAGATACAGAGCTGGACGTGGGCCATGTGGAATAATGATCATTATCAGTGTGAGCCTGCTCCTCTGTCTCAGAAGGTATAGGAAAAAGTACTCCTGGCAGGAGGAATAGAAGAATTGAGAACAGGAAAGCAACCTCTAGTCGACCATTAGAGGAACTGAAGGAATTCTGTGTAGCTGGTACTTAGATCAGAAAGAGGAGCCCAAGGAAGATGGGAAGATGGGCTAGACCCAGGCTATAATGGGCTTTGTAATACATATTAAGAATTTGGGCTTTAGGGCTGGAGAGAAGGCTCCATGGTTAAGAGCACTGACGGCTCTTACGGTGGACCCGGGTTTGATTCCGAGCACCCACATGGTGGCTAACAGCTGTCTGTAACTCCAGTCCCAGGAGATCTGATGCCTTCTTCTGACGTCCATAGACATTGCATGACATGAGGGCACTTACACACACATGCAGGCAATACATTCATAAAAAAATAAAAAAAGAATTAAAAAAAGAATTTGGGCTTTATTCTAAAAATTGTAAGTGACCTGATCAGGCATTTGAATTAAAAAAAGGCACAGTGACTGCAATGTTAGCAGTGTAGATGGGGGATTAGTATTTTGTGATGACAGGAGGTCACTTAGGAAGTTTGGGCAGGCAACAACAGATGGTATTAGCCTGCGCCAGACAGAAGGCATGAATTAGTGACAAAATTCACCAACAGAAAGCCATTGTCCTTGGCCTAAAGAATTTGGAAAAGAGTGGGAGTAGATATTAAAAGACGACATTACTGGATGAGTTCTAATTCTGCAATGGAAGTGAGCACTGCCAGTTAGGTTCAACAGTGCTGTGCTCTCCTGAAGGACAGCCAGGACTTCTACTTGAACAAGTGCCTGTGTTTACATTATCCTGGACACTAAGGAAGAAAGAACAGTAGACTTATCTGGGAAACATGTCGGCAGTGGGTTGAAAACATAGAGACGAACCCAGAGGATTTTGGTCAATAGATCACAATGATGTAACAACCTCCTGCAAGCAATTCAGTCACCTGTGACAGTGATAGCCCCCAAGGGCACTGGTGGTGAGGCTAGTCCAGCCGGATGTAGCATTATAATGTGACTGTATTTTGGAATTGGTTCCTTTGTTAGTTCCCCCAAGCTCTTACCCAGAAAGCCCATGTGAAATTAAACACTTTCATTAGGTTTGATTTTGACACTTGCACGTTTTAGGTGTTCAATACATGTTGCTGAGTTAAATTGGATTTTAAAACAGAAAAAGGTTACAATTCAAATGAGATGCAGCAAACCCTTTTAATGTGTTTATTTCAACATGGTGTTTCATGTTCCTCAGCACTTGGCAGCAGATCTCAGGTTTATTTCTACCAACTTAATTTCTACTCAGAGCCTAGT